GCCTGTCTGCTTCCTGTGTTATCTCTTTCAGCCTTTTATGAGGAAAGCTTCAGTGAAAGATGTTTCAGTTAAAGGTCTGCTGTCACTGCAAGACTATCTAAAAGAAAAGCATCACCTGGGACCCGTTTGGAGCCTAAAAATATTACTGGAGGCTCTTGGGTTGCTTCCTTTGTGAGTGGATATGGGGGGAAAATACGTCTATCAAGACCTTTTTTTCCCCCCTTTAATAATTCTGCCTAGCCTGAAAAATATTTTTTCACCCTGCATTGATATCAAACGAACATGATTCTGTGATTGCAGCAAGCAGGCTTGGCTTGCAGCTACAAGGATGGCTTTAATAGACTCCTGATGGAATTCCTATTCATTTCTTCTCCCTTATTTGTGATAAAACATTTAGCTCTCAGTCTCCATTAATCTGAAACTTGGTGCTCTGAGCCAGCTTTTACAGCATGCCCACGGTTCTGGCTCTGCAAAGCAGTGTGACCCAGCACAACAGAGAATTCTCCTGAAAGCTAAAGGTATTGCCTGAATTTAAGTTGACATTTTGGCACACAATAGGCTATACTGATGTTATCAAGAACAGTTAATTGGCCCAAAAAATCCTTGCTGCACCATCAGATGTTGTGACGAATGGCAAGATTTGGGGGATATTTTTTTCCTACTTGCTAGCAGGAAATTTGAGGGAATCAGGGGGATTTCTGTCTTGTTTATTCTGACAGATAGGAAAAGCAACAGGGTTGGGAATTGTTTAAATTTTTTAATAGGGTATATTTCTGAAGATGTCAATTTTTTCACTCCGTCTTCCATAATACAAATTACTAAAATATTCAAAGTTGTGCATCAAAACAATTTAGATTTTCATGGGGTTCGACTTCAACACATGATGTCTAACATATTTGAAAGTTTTTGTCTGGCTATTATATTATGAGTGGTCTGAAAAATGTCTTTGACAGTGAATTTTACTTATATTATAAACCCCATTTTTAAAAACCCCTTTATCATAAGGAATTAAGATTTTTATATAAAATCTTCAAGATTTCATTTGTGGAACCTTTGTTAAACACTTCTGCCTCTCATTTCAATAAATTACCAGACAAAACTAAACTACAATTATTTGAAATTTATGCCTAAAAAAAAACTTTTTGGCTCCTTGGATTCCAGTGAGACGTTTTCACTGATAATTTCATTGCATTATTTCTTTTGACAACACCTTCCTGGCAGCACCTGTACTACCAACATTAAGTACCTTATGTTCTAAATCTTCAGTTTCTCAGTCCTGCTGTGTTTCAGCAAGGAACAAATTGTGCAACTCATCACTAATACGTTATTTAAAAAAAAAAAAAAAAAAGAGAGATGAAGTAATTTCTTCTGCCCTTTACTGGATCACTTTAGTCAGGTACTATATTTAAGATAATAAGGAAAAATAAGAAAAAAAGTTAAGATAATAAGGAATAAGAGACATTCCCCCATATTCAAGAGGGGACCCCAGAACTTCTCAACAGACCCTTCACCCTTTCAGATGCATTTCTCCATCTCAAACAAAGTTCTGCAATCTCCCTTTTCCCTCACTCACAGCAGACAGCTTCAATTATAAAACCTGCTGAGATAAGGTCTCTGCTTCATGAGGCTAATGAACACTTGAAATGATGCACTGAACTAATTTGTATTGAATACAGAATAGCTATTTGTTGTGTGAATTTCATCACCTCTTATTCCTTGGGTGTTATTTTCAAAATGCAGAAGCTTGTAATGGAAAACTATTTATATAATAAAAAATTTTAACTCTCTAGAAACCAGCCTGAAGTGTTCATTGAAATGAATAAAGTATTAAAGTATAAATTTAAATTATTTTAAAATTTTTGTCTTATGGTATTATATTTGAAGAAGTTACTTGGAAACATGGGTTTTCAATTCAGATTATATTCATGTAAAAATTGTTTGGACAAAATAATTTTCTTATTTTTAGCAATTTATCATCAAAATAAAACTCTGCAGCAGGAGGATGATAGCTCAGATTTTGAAAGGGGTATAAAAACTGCAAAGGAGGAAGGTTCAATTGGTCAGCTAAGCCAGGGATGCCAACACATCAAAACTGACCCTCTTGTGCTATTTTTTAAATTTTTTTTTTAATTTTTCCCCTTAACAAATAATCACAGCATATGAAAACAAAAACCTCTGAAACTGTGAAATAAGTTTTAAAAATATTTCATATGTTTCTTTTTAAAAACCCTCTAATTTTCTGAAATGGGAAGGTTGGATTTTTTTTTCTTTAAAAACCAAAATCAGCTGGAAGTTCATTTCAATTCAATTCAATTCAATCCTTTACAGCTGGCCAGCAACAGAGTCACCCTCAGCACCTGGTGTCGTCTCTTCTGCCTCTACAAATACACAAAGCAAGAGGTCTGGTGGACTTACATGCAATTGAAGCTAATGAATTTATAAATTTTAAATTTAAGCTTTTGATAACCCCCTAAAAAGGATCTAAATGTCCTGCTTAATTCCCTCTGGAAGAGGAACAAAAACACTGGGAGTGTTTTTTTCTAAATTATCTTGGGAGCTGGCAGAATTCAAATCACCTGTGAGGAACTCTAATTCTCAAGTTTGTTTTCAGTGTTTTTTTTAAATCACTAAAAGTTTGGGATATTCTTTCTCCTTGCATAGACAGAAATTCTTTTGGTACAGCAATATATGATGTAAGAAATCACAGGAATGGGTGGAGAGAGGCTACCAAAACGTGAAGAGGAGCAGGACACAGCTAACCATGATGATCAACATATTTTACTCATGCCAGGGCAAGAAAAAATAAATAAATAAATTCATCTTGATGCTTCCTTAATTACCTCCTGTAGCACCCAGTGGGTTCATGAGGAAACGCCTGGAATCAGGAACACACCTGAAAGGGGTCCCAGAAACAAACTGACTCTGAAGAAAATTCTTCTTTTCTCAAGCACAGGGCAAACATTCTTGAGTCATCTCCAAGCACAACTAATAGTGATCTTTAATTGATGTCTCCACTGTAGGAACTTTCCAAGCAGGTAAATCCACCCTGCTACCCTGAACTGATCCACCTGCACAGCAGAGATGCCAAAACCTGTTCCTGTGGAGCATCTCAGGGGTGAAATCAGCCATCACCCCACTGTGATGCCTCCCAGTGCAGGAGAGGATCCCCCATGGATTTATTGGCTGCTTGTGCACTTCAAACAGTGCCATGAGGGAAAAATGGAGGCTGACTGAATAATCTGGGGGAAAACTGACCAAAACAAACCTGGTGCTGAGGTCTTGGTCATTGCAGTGCTGACAGGGTTGCAGAACTAAAATAGGGAACTATTTTCACATGTGCTCATCAAGGCGATTTACACACGTGGATCTCCTTACTACAGGAACACGTTTGTACAGCAATTTAATCTGGCATGGCTGCAAACCTGGGAAAATCACAGGAATCCAAGTGATGCCCTAGAACTGCAATGCAATTTTTTTTTTGATGGTTTTGGGCAGGAAAGGAGATTCATACATCTCTCTCATGAGTAGGGGTACCCCTGACTGCAGAGCCTTTTAACACATTTATTTCAATGATTTCTGAAATCTCTTTTCAATGGTAATAATTTCCCAGTTGATATTCTTCCTGGCTGTTTGAAATTTAAGTAAATCTAGCAAGCTGAGCAAATACCTGAGGTCTGGCTGCCCTTTGTCTGGCAAAAGGATTTCTCATTCTGTGTATCACTCACAAATCCCTGGAGAGCTCACACAAAGTCAAAACCCAGGCTTATCACAGTGAAGGTGAAGCAGATTTGGCATTGATTAGAAGTTAGATACAGACCCACCTTCAGTGCCCTGGGTTAACAACAGCAAAGTCACACATTCAGAAGTCAGGAGATTATGGAGCACCTTCAGCTTCTACTCGGATCCAAAGTTATTCAAAGGTATAAAGCAAATTACTTTTATCACAGAGGGAAAATTAGGAAAGAAGTGCAAAGTACAAGGAAACATTTCCCTGATTGAAATTATCTAATATCTGAGCAGGGTGCTGCTACATGCTCAGGAATCCAAATGCCTCAGCTATCAAACACAAAGGGGGAAAAAGTAAACATTTCACAGCAGGAATTTCTGTGATTGTACTGAGTATTTGCCAGTGGATGATTCTTCCCTGGGTACACCCATATGAGCAGGGGGTAGCCACAGTTTTACTCAGCCCTTTACCCAGTATTCCCAAGCTTTCCCAGTGCCTGTTCTCCAAGATTATTGTTACAAGGGAAGAGAAAATAATTTTTCAAAAGAGTTTTATTAAATTTAAAGTGATTTTTATGATGCCTCAGGTGTATCTATAAAACTATTCTAAATTTTCCATTCATTTGCATAGACACATCAATTTTAACTTTTGTTCTTTTAATAGTACAGATCTCTAAATCTAGTTACTCAGCTTATACAACTCAGCATGATTCCACTGAGAAATAGCTTAGTAGGACCAGAAATATTCTTATTTAAAAAACAGAAATTGTTTATTGCAAGGCAGAAATTGTTTATTGCAACCTAGTTTATAAGTGAAGAAAAAGCTGATTGAGGAAATGTAAGAAAGGACTACTTTTTAAAAAATCAGAGAAAAACACCACAATTTTAAAAAAGTATTTCCATAGCAGCAGCTCAGTATATTGAAAAATGTGTGTTTTGCTCTGTGGCAAAGAGCCAGAAATTATGGCCACAGGGTATTCCTGATTCATAGCTATAATAACAGAATGTTTTCCACCAAAATCAGAGGAATAACACACCCACAAGCTACTAAGAAAACAAGGGCCTAAGAGATACAAGATAGCATGTGAGAAATTAGAGAAATAAAAAAAATCTTCCAAACAGTTCTCAATTGTGTTTACATGGACATCACCACAATCCTAATAAATGAATTATTTCAGAGAAACATACAACTTGCTGCACTGTATCTTAGTTACCAGCATCAGAACTTATGAGCAGGCTGTCCTACAAACACAAGGAATGTGGTTTTCACTCACCAATAAAGGCAAAATCCAAAATTGAACTGCACCACTGCGCTGCCGTATCCATCTTCTTGAGTGGAGTCTCTAAAACCTGCATTTTCAAATCAAAGAATGAAACTGGAGATTAGAAAGAAAGCATTGCACCCTCACTGCAAAAAAGCCATTTTTTACAAGGAGTGCATTATTCATAATGCATCACAGGGTTATGACAAGTAAGAGGCATTACAAAAAAACAACCAAAAACCAAAACAACCAATAGCAAATGTCACAGGTATATTTTATGAAAAATCCTTTTGTTTGGATCCTTTTCCCTGAGAAGCTTCAGCTTCTCCATGTTTCGCTGCTTTGGAATGTGACTTAGAGATTTGTTTACCCAGCATGTGAATTGTTTTTACTTGATGACCAATGACAGCCGCCTGTGTCGAGGCTGTGAGCAGTCACAAGATTTTATTACCAATCCTTTCTATTCCTTGCTAGCCTTCTGATTAAATCATTACTTCTATTCTTTAGCATAGTTTTAATATATAATTTTCTTTTAATAGAGTATATATCATAAAATAATCAATCAGCCTTCTGAAACATGGAGTCAAGATTCTCACCTGTTCCCTCATCCTGGGACCCCTGCGAACACCACTACAAGCAAGTGTTTGAATTTATTTATAATTATAATTAAAATCTTATAATTATAAGAAATCAATATACAGAGGACATTGTCAGCAGGACAGATCTGCATTTGGAAGGAAAAAGTTGCACAAAAGCATAAACAAAGTGGAAGTAATTTTTCAATTATTGAGCTGCAAGAAAAGGTTTTCTTAAAACAGTTAAAGAAAAACCGTGTCTCTTTAAATGAGCAACACGGAAGAGTGGAACCATTAACACGTGGCATTATTTTTCTGAATGTTACATGGAAAAGATTAATAATTTTATAAAAAAACCAACCCCTCAATATCCAACAGGAAAGGTGGAAACTCTTGATTCATTTTGTCCCCACCATTTTATTTGTGTGTGACCAAGGCATGGCAAGAGCCATCCCTGCCTTCTGCAAGCTCATTCACGCAAAAGCTCATTCACACTCGGAGCTTTCCCCACCCACCCTGTTGGGAATTTAGCTGCTAGAAAATGGAAAAGTACAAAACCATGGCTAATTCCAAGTCCTGCACCTGCACAGATAGCAGTGTCCTTGGGCCTAGCTGTGGTAGGATAACAAACAGTGAAAGCGACATGATAAAAGAGAGATGTAACCCCTAAGGAATGAGGAAGAGTTGATAGTATAGTTTAACCAATAGATTGCTTAGCTTACAGAATATTCATAAGCTTATTACTCGCTGCATAAGTGTCTGATGCTCTCTTCAATAAACGGAATTTGCTTATCACTCTTATTGAGTATCTGAGTCTCCCCTCACCGACAAATGGCTCGACTTCGCAAAGGCCCTCATTCTCTGCGACACCACCCTTCCTTCTGCCACATTAAACACTTAGGCTGGAATGATGAGAAACTGCTCCCTGAGACAGGGATGGGGTGGAATTATGGATTGCAGCTCGAAGGCATGGCCTGAAGTGGGATGGCAGCAGGCATTCCCTCCCAGCTGCACCACAAAACTTTGATACGCCAGGAGGGCGTAAGAGCACCAATATCCAGGTCTAGATCAGCATTAAAGAGAACAAATCTCAGCTGGATTGTGGTTTTGGCTATATTGAGGCATTTAAAGACATTGTGTATATTTAATGGCCAGAAAACAGGAGTTGTGGAGTCCTTAAAGGAAGGCAGTTTGGCTTGGGCATTAATTTACCACGGGAACTCTGCCATCCTTGAAAATGGTTCACTGTGTCTCCCCATCTGTTTCATGGACAGGTTTAATTCTGGCAGCACACGAAGGATGGATGTCATCATGCCCACACTTCCCTTGAAGATGCTCCTGCCAAGGAAAAATTAGTGGATTATAAATATACTTGACAAAACATTTTTATTTGCATCACTTAGCACCTACTCTGAAATAACTGGGTTTAAGGATATTTTAATAGAACTATACTAAAAGGTTACTAAAAGAACTGTGCTGTAGTTTTTGTTCTAGAAACACTGAAAATATGCACAATTTTTAATCCTATATGATTTAATACTATTTTACTCATTCAAAAAATTCTAATGGATCTCATCAAAAATTCACAGGGAACAGTTTTCAAGTACAAGCCCTTATTTTTTATTCTCTGTTCACTGTGAGCTTTGTTCTATATAAATACTTCCATTTCTTCAAGGTCCAAGGTAGTAGTAGACATAGCACTTGAAAGGAACATTTCTAATTATTTGGCCCTGCTTTCTTATTCTACAACCATGAAATATAATACCTGCTAAAGTTCATTTACTGTTTTTCACCTAAACTGCTTTCCTTTTTCATTTTTCACTCTAATTTTTCAAAACTTCCTCAACAGAGGATTCCAAAAGCATCAATATTCCACATTTTAATCACTAACATTCTTGAACTCTTGCTATCCAGGAAAGATAAAATGGAAAAGAATTAAAAATGGACCCCCCCCCAGATATTCAACTCATTGTCTTTGTAAGAAAAACAAAGTACAGATGAAAATAGGAGAAAATTAAACATGAGTTGCTCTGAGGAAAGACATCAAAACACTTGGGTAATATAATTTTTGTGTTATGAATCACTTTAATCTAAAATTTAGCTCAAAAATGCTTTTCCATTTATGGATTTTTTTTTTTATCATCTTTCTTATTGTGAATTTTCTGTGAGATCCGAAAGAAATGTTCTGGCGAGGAAATAAACACACAGAGGTGCTGACTTGAACAGCAGGGATGTTTTTATGGGGGGGAGAGCAGGGACTTCCTAGCAGATTTGGGTTCCAAGATGCTGTCCTTAAGCAAGAAGCCACTGACCACTTTCAGTAACTTTTGCAATAATTTTGCTGCATCCTCATCCCTGAAAATCACGCATGTGTCTGGCCTCCATAAAAGCGCTAAGGGGGCAGTAATAATTTAAATTTTCTAATAGAGAAATCAATATGCAGAGGACATTGTCAGCAGGACAGATCTGATTTGGGCCTCCAAGAGAGGCTAAAATGTACCTGCACTTCATCATCACCTGTCCACTGCATTCTCTAAGGCAGGAATTAAGAAGGCTTCCAAAAAGCATCTTAATTTTTTGGGATGCGTCTAAGGCTCTGGTGATGCCACAATCCAGAGCTGAAGTTAGGAATCATTAGCACTGTTTTAAAAGTCCAAGTGAAAGCACAGGTTCAGAATGTTGAGAGGCCGAATCATTAATTTCTCAAACTAAAAATAATATTTGACCCCAAAAACATTCCTAGGGGATGAAATTAGAGCAGATTAGTTTCTAACAAATTGCTAGTGGACGAGGCTTTTCAAGCCATTTATATACATAAGTCTCCTCAAGTGAATAATCAAATTTACAAATATGCAAGCAAATCTTCATAAATATGCAAACCCAAGTCCTTGTACAGCATCAAAGTCCCACTTTGATGGTTATTAAATCATCACCCAGAAAGGATGCTAGAAGAATACTAAAGTGGCAAATGTCAATTTTGTAAAAGCTATCAAGCCCCAGCATAAAACCTGTCTTTAGGTACTGTTATATTGCTGTGGTCATGTTTACCCACTGCTAATTCCATTCACAGATGAATTGATCTCATTAAGCAAGAAGCCATTAAGTATTTCCAGTATTTTTTTCTAGTAGCAAACAGCTCTGCAATCTACTTACTAAACACTGATGATAGAATTATTCATTTGCTCATGGGATTTTCTAAAATACTTTTCACAAGTCCTTATTCCATAGCTGCTAAGAGGAAAGGGGAGGATGGAGCCTTTCTGCAAATGGGGAGCTGACACCTGCAGAAGTTATGACCAAAAGAGCCTTTTAATTTGTGGATAAAACTTAAAGGCCTTCCATCAGGTTTTTCAGAGTAAGTCTCATCATAGAAAACTACACTGAACAGTTCCAGTGCTTCTGTTACTCCTAGGAATGTTTAGAAATCAGATTTAGGCTGCTAACCTAACACACCTTTACTGCATGTGTTCAACGTGCAGTTTTTTGAAGCCTTGAAAGTTGGTTAAATTGGGGGTACTTTCAGAAAATGTCACATCCCCAATTCCCTGCCAGATTTCAAACCCTTGTCCAAATTATTAACATACCAAATCTCACTTCAACTTAATACCACTGATTTTTTGACTGGTTCAAAAATACAGGCATTTTACCCAGAAATGCTGGGTAAATGTAATCTTCTCAAAATGTATAATGTGGGTAATGTTCTCAAAAATACAGTGATTTTGCCCAGAAATTCCTGTGTTATTTCTATGAAAATATCCTGGGAAAGGGGAGAAAAGTATCTGCCTAAGAAGTTGCTGTCTGACAAGGCTGCGAGCATGCCACTAACTTGCCCATAAGCACCACCAAGCAGGCAAATCCATAATATAAAGATGAAATATGTAGGGGAGGACTCAAACAGGGTCTTGAGCAAGAAATCCAAATGAGCACTGTAAGGATTGCAGTGTTATTATTACAGAGTCACTGTGGGTCGTTCATCTGTTTCCACTTTGTTCTGCTGAAGGTAATTTTATAGGTTTTTGGTCCTATTTCCTCTTTTCCAGGGCCTGTAATTAGGCACAAAAGAATTCCAAGTTTTATGGCAGGGCTTAAGGAGGTTTGTTAGTTTTTACACGCCAGCAGTAAATCTGCTCTCGCCGAGTAAATCTGTTCTGAGGGGGAACAGAAACTCTGAGCCTGGCTCCAAACTCACTCCCCTTCACATCAGAGGAAGATTCAAAGAACCTCAGCAAACAAATACAAGCAGAGACATGTCTCAGATGTGGCTGGGGGTGTGTGTTCTGTCTCCACCTGTCAGAGGTGGGGCAGTTCTCTGCTGTTCATGGGGCAGTTTTTTCTTCATCTCTCCCACAGCCAATCCTCCCTCCAGGAGATCTCTGCTGTTAATGGGCCATTCATTATTAATTATCTTTTGTTAATGGCCACTGAGTGTCCCTGCATGGCTGATCCAATCCCAGCATCCCATGGGGAGATGCCCCGCCCAGGGGAGGAGCCAAGCATTCCTGCCTGGATCCAA